AGTGTTAGGATAATTTAGAATTATCACCCGGTATACTTTGGATTTAAGGACCAAAGTCAGACAAGGCTGTTTACTCTTCCCCTTTCTCTTTCTTCTGGTGGTTGACTGGGTTATGGAAACCTCCACATCGAAGGGTAAACACGGAATACAATAGACAGCTTGGAATCAATTGGATGATTTGGACTTCGTAGATGACCTGGCCCTTCTATTCCATACACACGAACAAATGCGGATGAAGATAACTAGTGTAACAACAGCCTTTGTATCAGTGCACCTCAACATACACAAAGGAGAAAGCAAGACTCTCAAATACAACACGGAGAATACAAATCTAATCACACTTGGTGGAGAAACTCTGAAAGATGTGGAATCTTTCACGTACCTCGGTAGCAACATCATCGATGAACAAGGAGGATCTGATACAGATGTAAAGGTGAGGATTGGCAAAGCAAGTGCGCATTCTTACAGTTGAAGAATATTTGGAACTCAAAACAACTGTTTGCAAGCCGACATCAAAATGAGAATCTTCAATACGAACTTCAAAACAGTTCAGCTGTACGGAGCTGAAACTTGGAGAACTATCACAACCACCATCAAAAGAGTACAAGTGTTTGTATACAATTGTCTACGTAGGATGCTGAATATCCGTTGATTGGATACCATCAGCAACAGCCTACTGTGGGAGAGAACAAAATAGCTTCCAGTTGAGGAGGAGATCAGGAAAAGTTTAAAGTGGATAGGACATGCATTACAGAAATCACCAAACTGCATCACGAGGCAAGCGGAAAAGAGGAAGGCCAAAGAACACACTGCGTCGGCAATCGGAAGCAGACATGAAAAGGATGAATACAACTGGAAAGAGCTGGGAAGGGTTGTTTGGGACAGGGTTGGATGGAGAGTGCTGGTGGGCGGCCTATGCTCCTCCACGAGAGGTAACACGTAAGTAAAGTAAGGTAAATAAGTATATTTTGGATTTCCTTTTAGGTCAGACGCATTTATGGTTTTGTTTTAGTTTGTAGAATGTAAACGGTTTAGCTTAGTTGTCACTGGTTTGTATAATTATCTATGGACAATAAAATTATACATTAGCACCAATCGATATATCGCAGATAATATAATAATAAGATTACTTAACGGCCCCTAGAATTATAATGTACTAAATATGTAAGTCATAAAAGTTGTGGATTTCTGTTAGTCAGTTATAATCAATGTACAACTTGATAGGAATGTTGATTTACCCAAGATGTCAAGTCAGCTCAACATACCAAGTCCAAATTAACAAAATAAATAGTAATGAAGCTGAATTACTTGTATTAATATTGGTATGAAAGACTGTACATATGAAATATGGTTCAAAAAGAAGACAAAATAATAAAAATTAGAAAGTAATATTGAAACCCAGGATTCAGAATAAAGGTTTAAGATGAATACATCTCCATCAACGAGGCTAATTTCTAAACATATCATTTAGGGTTTGCAATCAATGATCAAAATTTCCGCACAAGTCCAAATCAGATGGTTCGCACCCACCACCACGGCTCAGAGTAACAGTTAAATGTCAGTAGATTAGTTTGTTCATCATTCTTATTTTTAAGTTTACAACACAATCCAGTCTGAAGTGTGAACTTCGGAATATGGGTTTTTAGATTATACAACTAGAAATTAGCTCAAATACATCTATTGGAATGATGTGGGATAATTTAAACCCCCTAAGATGTTATTTTAAAAATTGTAAAGGGGATCAGTCACGAAGTGTCGATATTTTGACAATATCCATCACGGCTTCGGTCTTCCATTTTTTCCCTTTGTTTGCAATTGAGTATAACATAATCCTGAATGGAACGTCTTTTTGGTATGATATAAAACAACCGCATTTATACTGCTTTACTCTGTGAAGCAAACTTATTAAAGGTAATTTTATGTAATGTCTCAATGTTCGTCAAGTAAGATCAGGCTGAAACCTAACTAATGGTTTACCGTACCTCATCTAAAAGAACGCCTCATCGATAATTCTATAAGGTGTTGGTTTAGATCTAGTAACAGTTCATCATTAAATTCAATTCCAACAATCCCATACATTGTTCTATGAATATAATTAGCCTATGTATTTCGAGAGAGAGATGTGATGATTACAGGCAAACAACATCAGGGAGGGAAATAACTCCATCCTTTCCGTATTTTTATCTTTTTCTCTGCATGCACATTTTCCCCTTTCCTTACAAAATATAATCAATACACGATAAAAATTAATCAAATCACATTGTTTTGTAAATGTATTATCAAGTCAATGATTTTTAAAAAAATATTTCTTTCGTAGTAATCTAATAACACACAAATGCATGTACAAACGCTCTCCTTGGCTTATACAATAATAATTCAATCTTGTTTTATTTATTAAAATTAATTTATGTGAATGTTTAGTAGGCTTTTATTTGGTCGATTCACTTGTAAATATCTTTCACTGAATCCCGATTTGTGTTAACATTAGTTTGTATTAGAATTAATTTTTTCCGGTTTTGATTGGCAAAAAGCGAACAATCTCATAAAACTAAATGTAAAATTGTTTGCATGATTTTTCCGAGAAAAAATGAGTTTTAATATCCTGAAACATCTATATTCATTTCTGACGCACATGATAACATTTCGATATGCAGTTGAGTTACATTAAAGTATGTTGCACATTTTATTTCAAATGACAATTAATGATTGGGAAGATGTTACAAGTATTATTATACGAGTAGCATTTAATCTTTGTAGCCCTTAAAAAACAATTTGAAAACTCACATTCTGGTATTAGACTGTATAATCATTACCATAACAATTGATTTATCATTATTTTAGAAGTTTTATGGAGATCGTTCACTTTGAAGAACACTTCACATCAAAAACTAACTTCTACATAATCAGAAAAAAATATGAGAGTCACTACTCAGATATTTTGTTCTAGTTTCGGATTTATCAGTAATACGTCTCAAAAAACCCTATCAGGGTTGAATCAAAAACATAAAGATCATGTAGTTAGCAAGTAGTAGTTCAACGGTCTACGTTTCTTACCTTAATCAGTTTTCAATATTCTCAGTCATTACCCAGTGGGATCCAGCTCACTTTCTGCTGCTGGGAACTCAGAAACTAAGATAATACAGATGTTTAGAGCTTGTTTGTGGACCTGAAGTTTGTCTATCATGTGGGTTATCTTCAGAATATCTTTTTGTTAATGAGGCTATAGCCATATTAAGTAAATTCAAAGCGACTTTACACCAACAACTAGTGTTTCTGATAAAAATTACAAATTATCTAGTTTTAATCTTTCTTTTCTCATTCCTTAAGGTAAACAATTTTACATACACTGTCATTATTTAGTAAGGATAATCATGTAGTTAGATAATAATGAAAGATACGATACTTTATATGATTGCCGTAACAAACTCTTAGTATCATTTTAATAGACGTTGTAAATACTCTCTCCCTCGGTACCGCAATTAAACTTAAATCAACTATACATAAGTATTTTTATTTGTGTACCTAAAATTTACCGCTAAAATGTACCTACTAATCAGTAACAGGTTATTCATAGATATTTTTAAAAAATGGTCTCACTGCATGTACAATCGCTTACAGCTTTGAAAAGAAAATAATTGGCTATTTAGTAGAAATAAAGAAATACACATTTTATACTGTTACTTTTAGTTAAATGATGTCAACAATCTTGCGAAAGGTAAATGCAAACTGATAATGTTTTTACTCTGTATACATTTATTGTGAAGAATATATTTGAAGTATTCCTCTATGATACAATTACCACGTGTTGTACTATATTTACTCAGACTATTCGGAAAACTATGATGCCTCTTGTGTATTAGCTGTAGTTCACTTATATTTTAGAATTATTGATTAGTTAAAAAATGGAGTTTTAACTCTGTCTAGTGCTTATCACGATATAAATGTTACTATAAAAGCGTTGTTGCCACTATCTTTGATGAGTGATAACAGTTTATAAGGCATAATCTCTTGTTTTAATCAATTAGTCAGTCATTATCAACTTAGAGTTTTCGTCAAATGAGCATTGATTCCAGTTGCCGTACCATTTTAGCACGACAAAGTGAAATGAACGAGTTAAATACCAAAAGTAATCGAAATTATGTGATATCAGTGATAATGATAATGGAAATATACTTCGAAAAAGTATATGTGAAGAAATAATGAAGTCCCGAGTCGATAGGAAGATAAAGAGTAAATACATCAGCGAATTATTCCGTCGTTTACTTCGTGTGTATTTGCTGTCCATATGTCAACTACAATATGCATTTCTTTTACAGTGCCGTTAAGCATAAACATAGACAAAGTAGGAATTAGTGTAATATTAATTATATAATAGTGGTCAAAATTTTGATTGGCTGCCAGGATCAAAGTTGATTAAGCGAATAGCTTCAGAGCCAAATACAAAACCAGTGAAACTACACACAAATCAAATGAGATTTGTGCAGGTCATATATATCTGGTGCCTCCTTGTACCAATATTTATGTGTTTAAATAAATAAGAAACTACAAAATAAAAGTGACAGATTATTCTTATACAATTATTTAAATCTAACAAACATTTACATTTCAAAGTGTAGTTAAAGATCATTCGTGAAATAGTAATTTTTTGAGCAGAATCTAGTTGCGTACGTATCAAACTCTTTTTTATGTGCCCACTTGTTTATGTTTCCTTCCAATATTCAATAATAAAACCAAGTATATTTTAAATTCTAAACAGCTTTTGTTTATTAGCGAAAATTAAGTGAACCTATAAATGAACTTTTATGTAATGTAATGACACAGTAATTTGATTGCACTTTTTTACACAGAAAATGTTACACTGATATTCCTCCTATTTTTTTCTCCTTTATTTCTCTCTATTATTGAATAACCGATTATGTGTTAATTGTAAATATCTGAGTAATTTTTCTATTATTTATTTATCTTAACTCTTTTCTTTTGTTTTTCTTTCAACATTTTAGTTTCACGAGATGGTCTGGATTACTTATTCCAATTGGTGTTGTAGTAGTAGCAATCATTGTGTACAAATGTTTCGTATGAGTAAATTGTTATCTTTCTGTGTTTCTATCTACCAGTATGACTCTCCTCCGTGTTTATGTTTACACACTGTGATTTTTCCGTAAACCTTTCCTTCTGTGTTTAATATTAGTTTGTGTATTTTCTTGTTGGATTTTTTCCTCTAGTTGAATATTTGTTAATGTGCTTGTCTTAATAAAGAAAGAGACAATCAACAGTTTTTTATATGTCTGATAACTTCTCTTTTGTTTTAAAGTTTATGTGTATGTATTGTGTACGAGTACGCGTGTGTTTGATTGGCTGTTTGGTTTAGAGTACATATGAACGACAAACTCGAAACTACTTTAGTGCAAAAGATAGCAGTTATTCGTAATATTGATTTGTCTATAGGATTCTAGGGATTTGTGCGGACCTTTAACCTCTTGTGTTCGACTGTCTGTTTCTGTATTAAATTAGAGAGCAAATAAAATTCAAGTATGTTATCCCCTTTATAGTCATCCGTTTAAAGATTATGTAATTTTTTGGAACTAAAAATCATAGATGGCTGGAAGTAATCTCCGGGATACTCTAGACTTAAGTTTTATGCTAGTTAGGACTTGTTAGGAACGAGCATGCTCACTCCCTATCGGGTTTAAACTAAAGTCACTCAGCCGTACAGTGTATGACGTTACCACTGAGTTATTCAGACCGAGATGTTTGTCAGCCGTTATATATAATGATAAGTAATGTGTTCAGTTATGTTTTGATGATTGTGGCTTTTTGATCTAGGAGTTAATTCTGTTTTATTTGTGAGTTTGTCGTAATGCAGTTTGGCAGATAAAACCATAACTAATCGCTTTGGAAATGTTACCAAAAAGTTATGTAGACAGTATTGGGGTCAGCTTTTGCTTCGGTTATTTTTACCTCTGAGTCACATCAAAGTTCAGATTGTGATCATTATCGTGAATTCTCCCTATAATCCTAAGAGACTTGATACAATCAGCGGATCACTTAGAGATGGGCCAGACATAATAGTTGACAATAAGATAAGTAACTAAAGTAAGATCATACACTGGTAATAAAAACGTCGAAAAGTTCAGTTTAAATCCTATCACAACTTAATTAGATTTCATTTTTTTAAAGTACGTTTCTATTTTCTTAATGTAAGTAGATTAGAACTATGAGAGGATCGCCATTGATTTAAATTATGAATCATATCTAATAACATCTAAGTTCATTGGTTTGCACTATCTCTGAGACCTTATTAAAGGAGTCGCTATAGGTCCACAAGTGCTATCATTTATAAACTTTCTTCTCTGTTATTCTCTACACATTCTCAGAGTTAGCTGCAAAGAAGGTGTACCACTTTAAAAAAAAACTAAAAATGATTTTCTCGAGAATACGATTTATAAATATGTGATTCGATGTACATACCAAACCTCTTATCATTACTAGCTTATAAGACTTTGAACTTAATATATAGATTTACCAAGTTTTTCTCAATTTAGGTCTGACAGCAAATATTCTAAAAATATGAAATTAACTGAACTTTTATACCGTGGAAAGCGTTTACGTCATGATAAACTCCAGTTCTTGACTAATCGTTATTGGAATCAAAAAGGTTCACATTTGAAGGTTTCCCGTTTACGTTTTCCCGAAGAAGTTGCCAATAGTTCAAATAGTCCTTTAATAAAAGCAGAAAATATGTTTAAATCAACTAGATATGATGATGCACTTTCGAACGAGATTGAAATAGGAATTACTGCAGATGAAGCTAAACATTTAGAGCAACAGAAATCTGAAAGACTTCAGTGTTTTCATCCCCTATTCGGAGATGTTCGCTTTCACCAAGATTGTCAGCCATCACTAATCTTTTCCAGTAAACGACGTTTCTCAAAGGATGTAGCTCAAGCTAGTCTTCTAACAAATGTAAGTTTTAGTTATTTGGTAATGTATATTATAAATTAATTTTTTCTAACACGTCCATTGTTTGTTGATTGTTTTGAAGTCGAACAATCATTTCAGCTGTGAAAATCAATGGAATGCGTGCGCAGTTTACAACCTCAGTGTGTTAATCGCGAGAATTTCAAAATTTTAACTTAGAAATCGGTGCATGGTGGTATCAATATTCTCATTAATACAGGATCTACCATCACTGGTTTACCCTATTGGCTCGACTATGACCCATCGTCAAACCCCAATGATGCTTTTTTCAAATACTAATGGGCGACGGATATTAAGTATAATACCACTTTGGTTCCATCTGGAGGGGAGACAGTGTGGTATCGAAGTTTTTGCAGTTCACTATAAATCAGGTCCTGGTCTCGAAACTTCAGGGTCCGTCGAGTCACACCCATATAACACATCAGCCAGAGAAGAAACAAAAACCACTATCCATAAGCCGGAACTACTGATCATGGGATTTTGCCAAATCTTATCTACACAAAAATTGTCGAGGCAGTGAATTTAGCGTAATGAGCTACAAAGATAAATATTAAAGACGCAACATACGCCTCAAAAAATTCGGGAAATGAATCCACCCGTAAAACAAGCCAGTGGGGACATCAGTATATACATCGGGAGATACTGTCTCGGTAGCCTGGAAATACATCAAAGTTGGCGTTAATCATCAATCGCTACACACGACTTTGTATATTGGTTCGCCTCTTGGCTATCTTTTAAATGTCTTCGACGTATAATCATGTTACTTCAGCCTAAATAACCGTCGCTTTCTTTATAAAGAGAAAAAATATCCGCGATCTACATATCCATAGAAGGTTAAGAAACCTCCAGACCCACTCTTCATTATTCCAATGAAGAGGGACTTCGAACCGGGCTACTGGAAAGTGTCAGTTACTGATGGGGATTTTTATGAATATAGGTGTCCAATTGTTGACAAAAAATGCATTAGAGTGTGACATCTTGGGATTGTCACAAATACAATGATTTCTGTTACCTGTCGATGCTACCACCATAATTATTACTATAACCTTTCATAAGTTAGTTTTTTATGACCTTCTTAGTGTAGAAGTACCGCGCGATTTACACCTATTTTTATCTTGTGTTATTTAGTCTCCTTAGTCTCACGTAAATCTGCAGTTTGTATTAGACGTTTCTCAAGTTCTTATTTTGGACTAAATCCACAAATCATGACAAATGGTATGTATGTATTTCTCAGTTAACTTATGCAGCTGTGGTTATCTTTTCCATACTAACTTAAACATGGTATGAAGACTTATTATGTTGATGCTTGTAGTTTTGTTTTCTGAAAAATTTTAGTATTGTAGTCCGATACTGTCACTTGGGGAATAGGTAGCAAAGGGGTGCGGTCGCTGATGTAATTTCAGTTTCAATGGAGAAACCTCATTCATATGCAAGAACTCCATGTGCCTTCTAAAAGTAGGTTGCACCATGAGACAGTCAGCTATAGTGTTTGTTCTGTAGATTTCATGTGTGTCGTTACAGATCTTTCCGAGTGGTCCTCACACCTAGTGAAATGTTCGCAAATTCCTAGACACAAGGAGTACTTCAATCCTACAGTATTGTGAGTTGTTTGATCACATAATACTCTAAGTCGTTGTACAGTACTGACTGGTGTAAATTTATATAGCGAAAAAGCTGTAGGTGCTCGGAAGTTGGTGTTATCAATTCATGAACTCCTTCATAGTTAGAGTTATATAGGGAGATGAAATCCTTGATAATGTCCTCTGGGAATTCGAAAATGATAGTCTGGAAACCTAAATTGCTTGTATCAAAATCAACCATTTGTCTAATGAACCCTGTACATTTCACTACTTATTGTAAATTTCCAACGTTTTTCTGCGCTTCCTATTTTGTTGGGTTTTTTTTCATTGTTGTTACAAAGTTCCGAAAATTCAGCTGACATGCCATGGTACATTGTATGTCACTTTGTTCACATGCCTCTCTCTCTGATAATACAAAACAATAAACCTCAATGAATTTTTCCTGATCAATCGTTGTCAGTGTAGATGAACTATTCTACAAGATATCTGAGTATTGCTCCGTTATGATACTGTTCAATTTAACAATTGGTTTAATTAGCTCAAAATCTTGATTTTTACCATACATTTCAGATTTATGTTTTTTTTACTCACCATTTCGATATGGTTACAATAATGCAAATAAACTTTTACTTCATTTTCACGTTTAATTTTTTTTGTTTGATTACCTTATCTATAGTTTCGTTCTATTTCAGTTTATTATTTATTAACTTGCATAACCGCATCTTCATATTATATCTGGTGTTTCTGATTATTTTTTATTTCTTTAGACTGTCGTTACATTGGGTGCTCCACCGACATTAAATAATCTCTTTAATAAAATTAATGAATTAAATAAACTTGTTGATACAGATAAACCAATTGCAGAGTGGAGATCTTCCTTACGTCTATCTGTGGAACGGTCAATTCTACATGCTCATGTTTGGCAAACGGATGAAACTAAATTGCCTCGTCGATTTCACCAACAGTCAAATGTTTGGAAACATAAACCTGAGTATGGAATCCATCCGGAACAGAGTACTCGTTATCTGTTCCACAATCTATTTCGTATTTTGGAATTTCAAGTGAGTTATTTTTAAATATTCAACGTGTTTTTCACATTGCTTATTTATCATATATCTTATAAAGTTTTTAGGATGGTAAAAAATTAAATGTACATTATCGAGATAGAACATTTGTGTAATGTAGGCAGTTAGATGGTAGTTTTCATCAAATAAACAGCTATCAAGAATCAGAGAGAACTTGACGGTCATTTTGTCTTAGTTAGTATTCCTTAGCCTTTACAAAAATTAAACTTGGAACTAAGTGAAAAACATGATACTTTTAAGATTATTGTTAATTCACTACTGTTAATAAACGTCAGCTGATTCTATCAAAGTAATAATTGGCTTGTTGAAAGCTTAATATAGTTACATTGGATATCAAACATTGTTGTATGATCTCATTGATGTCATTTTTCTTCTCAATAAATCGACTCTTTTTACACACTACTTAATTTATTTTCAAGAAATAAAATCAACTAATTTACTAGTTTTAAAATTCCTACCGCCTAGATTGAGTTGGTTAATACTTTTGTATTTAATAATAATATGATACTAATAATAATAATCTAGCCATATTTACGTATTTGATCTCCGGTAAGTTCCCAACGCAAATGTAACAAATCCTACTAGCAATTCATTTCATGTTAAACAAGTGATCAATCTAGTGATCTATCAGTTTTGCAGATAATGCATCAAATTTCGGTTCAATCATTGCGTGGTGTAATCATCAACTAATAAACCAATATCAATGCCAAGGTTGGACTTGATAGTTCCAAGTAAACTGAGCATTGGGTAGAAAGTTAATGACAAATATGCTACTTGTGATATCCCAATGAGTAGGAAATTGTATTTCTGACGTTCCGTGACTTAATATGGGACACTTCTTCGGAGTAAATAAATAACCTAAATGAAATTAGCACATTACAGAGGAAAAAGTGCAGAATATTTTTAGTACAATCATAATCATAACGGGTCTGAATATGTCAATATAAGGTTAAAAGATAAAATCCCGTTCACTTCTACGCAGAATTGTGTCTACAGAATAGGTTGTGTCGATTATGATGCTCCCGTGTGATCTTGACTCGTGCCAAGGAACACGTACGTTACGCAAAAAGTCCTAATAATCCTTTAGAATTGGAGAATTTACAAGTTGAATAAGCGATAGTTGTAAATACTGCTTTCAACAATCACCAAATTGATACTAAAAATATCATAATTCAGGAAGGTTTCTCCAACTGTAAAGAGAAGCAAGTAGCTGAAGCGTTTCACATAATGCTAAATCCCTCTTTCCTCAGTAGGAAGGAAGGCCTGAATATTCATCCCACCTGCATTTTTTAACCAAACAACCACATTTAACCTTATTTATTTGCCACAAAATCTGCAGACACACGCGCGCACACGCGATCTCAATCCCACTACTTCATATTACAAATGCATACATTTTTCATACCCAACTTCTAACATACAAATTAATATAGTGACAGGTCATGCAAATTCGCCTTGATCAGAACTAACTTTACATTGACATATTCAGACCTGTTATGATTTTGATTGCACTAAAAGTATTTTGCACTGTTTCCTTTTTACTATTTAAACCTGTGTTAATTTCACTTCGGTTATTTATTTACTCTGAAGAAGTGTTCCATATTAAGTCAAGGAACGTCAGAAATGCAGTTTTCTAGTCACAAGTAGTATATGTATTATTAATAGACCGTTAGTTTGTCTGAATTATTTCATCTGCTTTTTTATTGCTGTTTGTTTTCTTTCTCTTTATGTGTGGTTATGTTCTTTTTTCCGTGCACTGACAGTTAAATTATATTGCGCGTAAAATTTTTAATCATTATCATAGATTAGTCAAAACTGAGTGAAAAATTTTCTTGTTGATACTGGCTTTTTCCTTTGGGTTTATAGACAGTTATCTTTTTTATTTTTGTTTTATTCTCTTATGATATGGTTTGATATAAATGCTTTGTATGTATGTTTATGAATGTGTTGGTTATACATCATAGTCTCAGTAAATAAATATGACCAAATAAAAATATCTCATCATTCTTTGAGTTTTTTGACTATTGTTCTTACTTATATTGATTGATAATTGCACGTTACCTAGTTGGGTTCTGCTAGATTATTTTGACGTTGAGGTAACATTCCTCAGAATCGTCGACAATGACACAGATCCATTTCTTTTTTGTCTTATCTTAGGATCTGAGTTCTTCAATTATTTTATTTCTTTAGTTCTGTACATTAATTTTTTATCGTTGAATTATATACCTTGTCGCTAATTCTTTCTTGCTGTCACTGCTACTACTGCTACTTTGGTCTTCATCTTGATGATTTTATCTGTAATTATGTGGCGTTGTGATTTCGACATTCTAACACGTTAACTCAATAGATCTTTTGAATGGACATTTCACGCCGCCAAGTTATATATAATCCCAACTAAACCAGTACATACACAACAAATCAAGGATAGGTTACCGATAGTGGGCTCCTCCATGTTTGTATACTAATTCAATTGCTCTTGTAGGGCTAGGTACATAGGCCGTACTCAGAGGGCTTCATCCTCGTGAACATGTACCAAGGTAGTTAGAAAAGGAGTCACAGAATCCATCAGCAGCTCCATCCTTTGTCACTTTGTAGATAGTGAACATCATATTAAAATAGATAAAACTTTCTCTGTTTCGTAACAAGTTCCAAACAATTTACCTAAAGTACCTAGATTACGACTCCTCTACATAGATGAAACTATCTGGATCAACTCCAAAAAACCTAAATTATTTGTCTAGAGGAGGTATATCCGGTCCACAACCGGATCACCAGATACTCAAACTGGATTTATGTGCGACATTGTCAAATTCATTAATGGATTTCTTATTTAGACCCTTATAAAATATCACAATAACTGTGGACTGTAGAACCTGATTCTGAATTTATTAAAAATAACTGTTCGCTCAAATCTTCTTTATTTTTGTAAGTTATTAATTTGCATCAAATCATAAAGCTTATCTTTTCATTATAGCTTTGAGTAACGTTAATCATAGCACCATAGAGTATTTTTTATTTGGCGAAATAAATCTTAGTGATGGGTTTTTATTAGTTGGTTTAAGTGCTACCGTAAACAATATTGACTATATTATTTTCACTATTCATATAAGCTTACTGGATAGTTTTTTAAATTAAACTTTCGTCACCTTACTATGTTACGCTAGTAATAACCTTAGTGTATTACTGATGATCATCAAAAAATTCGTTTGTATTTGAACAGTTTAAAAAAGTTTAGGTATTGAGTACTTGCTGTTCATTTGCATTTTCCAATGTGTGAGAGAAAAAAAATGTTTTTACTGACGTTTTACCATTTAATGCTAATTACTCCATCAAAGTAATATTATTTTGATTAAGCTATTAGCATTGAATAACGGAATGTGTCGACGGCATTTTTATCATCCTTATCAATATCATCATCAGCATTTATTTCATATTCAGTTGTTAGTTTGACCGAATTAGTTGTGTGTATTTTTCTTTCCGTTTCGAGAAATTCACCATTTCTAATGTCATACGAGTAATTTTCCCGTTTGAAACGTAACTATCGTGTTCTTGTAATGATTATTCATCATTGTCTTCGTCCCATGTATGTATCAGTGAGAATTTTATATTTTCGATCATAATTTTCCCCTGCACTTCAGTCTCGGGTCATAAATTTTTCCTACATTTATTTTATTATCACTATCAGTTGGCTGTTGAGTTCTCATTTTAATAACTATCAAAATTTTATCTAAAAGATTACACTTTTTCGGTACATAAAGCTGACTAATTGGTTAAAACTGGGCATATAAACCATTGGATGCCGGCTCAGTTGTTTAAAGGTTAAGCGCTTACCGCAAGTTTTTTCAGGGTTTGGGGTTCGATCCTAATTTTGATCATGGATGCTCACTTTTGAGAAGTCCTAATCTGGGATGAAACCTCTTCCTAATAATTTCTAGTTTTCGATGTTTGTCTAACTAAAATCAGCCTATGATTCAAATTGTGATATAAAATGGAACTAACTGCTATCCAATTTTTTTCTCATCATAGATTCTACAAAACATCAATTTCTCACTCTTATGTGCTTGTTTTCATTTATTTAAATAAGAGAATAATTAATCAGATTTAGTTAGTCGCCTTAAGGAGACTGTATTTAGTTTGTTTGATTATTGTTTTTAGAATTCACATAATACGCTAAATGATGCATATGTGTCTTTTTTTGTCTATGTTATGATCTAAATGTTGGGGGTTTGTCGGTTGGCATTACCTATTGGCAATCAGTAATTTTTATCTTAATTATCTAATGGACTTATTTCTTGAGAGGTTTGCACAAGTTCATATTCTTCATTAAACAAAGTTCCATTATTATGATTGTCAACTATTCTATTTGACTGCTATATAGTTTGATTAGTGGCTCAAACATATCTCATTTCATTATAAGTCACACTCGCAACTTATTTATGTAACTATTGAATCTAACGTTTTTAATTGTAAGTGGTATAACTGTACTAGTCATTCCATTGACTGATACGACAGATTATTGATGCTGAATTTCATAATAATGGTTGACAACAGGTTTCATTCTTATTCTGATAAATTAAATATGATATTCATCAAAAATATTGTTACCTCTTACCATTCTCTACAAGTAGTGATATTTGTAAGTAAGAATGTGAACAACTTGTAATCTTCATGAGTAGTTTATCATTCAAATTGTTTGTCTAATTCCTACCTATGTTACTTATCGTAGTTATCACTGACTGCTTCACAAATGTTTCATATTCCTTCAATGTTCATGTATTGGTCTGTGTTTTGCTGTAAATAATAAAGATGTACACCTAGCCGATGAGTCAAAAATAGGATAAAATGAGCGTCCTTGACTCCACTGCTAGCCATATTCCGTCTGTTGTGTGTCTAAATAAGGTTTCATACTGTAAGTATTTTTTATGAAGGATCAACTTTTTTATTTTTTCATCCAACATCTTTTTGGCATAATCCCATCTGTTTTATTACAAACTATTTTAGGCCCCTTATTATATGAATTATACTGGTCTAACTCCTATCGAGAACCAGCTTTCTGATAATTTGCCTTTCCGCTGGACCACACGAGATCGCCTGTTGGAAACATTCTACTACTGGGGTCCAGAAAAACGTCGGATCAGTTTTTCAGAACAACATGATTTGGTAGTTATGGGTCAGACGCCAGCCCCTCTCTTTCTGAATAATCATGATACTATCCAAAAATTCAGTAAGATCGCTACATTACCAGTTGCAAGCTTTGGTCCTATGTCACCTTTAATTGATCTTACCAGTACTTTGTATTATCGTGAAGACAGTACTAATGGATGGCTTGAAAATCAAGTAAGTTGAATCTCATACCTTCTGATCTAGTCTGAAACAGTTTCTGCAAATCTTTATGTGAGCTGGAGCTATCTTCTTCAAAGTGGAATCTTTTTATCGTGAAGCTCTTCACTACAGATATGAAGTTGTGAAACACTTTCTTTTAGAACAGATATTACACCTGTTTCTTAACTCACCACAAATTGAAATACTTCAGTTGAAGTATAAGTTCAGTACAGAGTAAATACTAAAAACTTATGTTGTCAAGACGTGACATAAATTCACGAAGTTGTTTTTCCAAGTCGATGGTAGAAGTGTAAATATATTAGATATAGCGAATCCATATATGTAGTCTAAGGTTCACATCTGAAGGAGAAAATCATTTCGGTTTTTCTTTTGCATCTTTCTGTTTTAGACTTACTTATATTCCTTATCAATGTTAACAGAACGAATAAACTTACTGGACATTGACCTGTATCTTTTTATAATTAGGCTAGCTACCGGTCAAAGTTAGTTGGGTCAAACCTAGGAAGTGCCAGTTTATGCCCTCAAGTCAGTTCATCGGAATGGTTCCCGTAATACTCCGGTTTATTTAAGGAAAATGAAGTACGGTTGATTGTATGGTTATGATTTGCTTTATAACAATATTTGTTCACAAATCGACCATAAATGGAGTAAACGTAAACAAGGTGAATGTATAAAATTAATCGGTAAGAAAAGTGATCAGAGCATCAGGGGAACTCTTTGCGTGTACGGAGCATTTTCTTCTTCGTGATCAGAGTAGCGTCTTTCCCGAACCTAATCTTTTCTGTCCAACTCGGGTTCAAAGTACTTCACTGATTCCGAGCAGCGCCAAGTTGTATCTTTTCATTTTCATAGCTATTCGATTAGTCCTCCCGGTCTCCCACATTGTCCGGTCATTTTTTGTACCTATATTAACTGTTGCTCTGGTTGTTAGAGGGAGCATCGGTCTCGTGACTTCCGAATAATTTCGGCTTTCACCATGAGGCGTTATAATTCTTCCAAATGAAGATCTTTAAACTCGGAGGGAAAAGTTTAAAATGTTTATTCTGGTTAGCGTTTTTTAGCAAGTTCGTTTACTGCGGGATGAGGTTACTGATCCCATGCCCAACCCTCCATTTTTGTGTGGGCTTGAGACTGGCCTTAACCTTCGAAGAGCTACAGGATGAGCTAAGAAAATTGATAACTCCGTTTATAAGACGATCCACGTAAGTTTCAGCTATATTTGTTTTTTTGTCGATGTGACATCTAAGGAAGTGGAACACTTTGTTGGACATGACCCAAAACCTTATTTTCAGAAAACGAAGGTGTTAAGACGAATGACAATGAATCATCAAGTTCATCCTTTACAAAGGACTTATGTATACTTATCCAAATAAGTATATGCAAATTTTAGAAAGGTACTAACCATACGGTTATATATTAATTCAGTATAATATTCGTCTAATTTATAGTTATTCAAATTTAACTAGTGATCGATGTGAAGTGCATCTCTATATCAATGAGTTTATTGATATATCATTTAGAAAAATCTAGTATTTGGATGTGAAATAAATCTTCGTTTATCATTAGTTTGCCTTCTTCCTTGTATAGAGCCGTATCACAACACTCCAGTTCATGAAATATGTTTTACGAGTAGTGTACGTTTGTTTTAGATGTGTTCGTTGTATCAAGGCTTTTACGTTCCATTTGTGAATAGTTCGTTACCATTTCTGCCCAGTTTCTACCAACATAATGCTTTTCTTTTCGCCATCATATTTGAATGAAATCTTGTTGTATAAGGAACCTAAGTTTGTAACTAGTTCTCCAGTCCCTGACTGTGAAAAGATTTGTTTGTGTCCACTTACCAAACGTTTTATGTGATCGTGATATCTGAAATTGGAATATCAGATGCTTAAGAATTGACCTTTATCTATGCTTCAATTTTAGTTACTTATAAGTAATGTATTTTGTTTTGTTTTAATATTGTCTTTTATGTGCATTATGTAAGTTTATTTTACTACATGTGACTACTATTATCAGTATGGCATTTTGTAGAGATTGCTGAATTTCCATAGCTTAGATCGCTAACTGGTTTTATCAAACCACTATAGGAAATTCTGAGGCACTGGATGACTGTTCCGTTCTAGTATGGGACTCCTTAGGAGTGATCACCTACGACCACGCCACAGGAGAATGAAACCAGGACCTTTCGTCTCGCATTCAAACGCTTAACTTTCAGACCACTGAGTCAGCATCTAACGATGTTATTGTCAAACTTAAATCATCTCACGACACTGTGCAACTCTCATCAATACGCTAAATAAAACTTGTAGAAGTTTATCTTTCTGTTCTTTTAATGAAAATGCTTTTGAGTGTACATGTAAATCGATATATGAAGTTGGATGGATATACAATGGGCATCCATCTACTTTTGTTTATGTTAGTGAGCGTCGTGTTATATACAATGAAGCCAATTTTGCTAAAAAGATTTCCTTAAATTTGTACTCAGTCTTTGATTAATTATATTTTTGTTTTGACCATCTATGTCTTAACTATTCTCGAAAACCCTAAAATTTTAACTCTTAACTTCGTTCACATTTTAAACGATTTATCGTTTATTGATAAATAGTTTATTTTCTGTGCAAACCTCAAATTATGTTAATAATTCGAAATAACGAAGGTTATTAGTTTGTATGTGGTTGAATTGAAAACGAAGAAATACAATAAATTCACTGAATTTCGCAAATTATGTTGTTCTCACGTTCGATAGAGTGATTATAACAAATTATTTGGTAGGTCGATGTAATGCTCTGAAATTAAACATGAGTTCATTTGTGTCGTTATAATGTGTTTTGAATTTCGCTACTTAAAATGATTAACCATAGACATTAAATAGGAATAATATATATTTGTAAAATCTCAGCGAATGAATTTGTAGTAAATCCAACTTTTCGCCTGGCAATCTGGTCCAAGCTTTTTCAAGGAATTAACCATAGTTCATGGTTATCTTTCTAACCATATTTAAGAAAGCTTCCGCATTTCTACACAGCTCAAATCAGCAGTCATAATATCATGAACTGATGTAAAGTTTTCGTTATCCCTTCCACTAAACATTTTTCTGCCTACTCCTGCCCCAACCAAAGTCTTGAATGAAAATGTACAACCTGGTCAATTAGTTTCCCATCTATATTCAAAACCTTCCTTCGAACTCAGTAATACTCATTATTTAATGGTTCTATCTTATCCTTACACTTTCAAAAGTATCTATTTGCCACCTTACCCCAAAGAAATCATGATTTTTACTTGTTTATATTTTCCAGTGACTTCAAGCAAGACCCTTTTTTTAGAGTTGTGAAAACATTTCATTCATTATCACGATCATCAAGGCAAATTCCTTAATTATTTATTACTTCTCATTAGTAAAAATAGTAATCCATATTTTTAAATTAATTCCATATTTCCTATTTTAATTATATTAAGTTGTATCTTGGTCATTATGCTTTTTATTCATTTTTAAAATATAATTAGATTTTCATTTTATAAATATCTAGGTCAGTTGTTTTTATTATGATAATAGTATTCGTTTTCATTCTCTATTTGACTTATCGTGTCCTTAATGAGGAAATGCTTATTTTTCCCATTATTAACTCTGTTATCATTCGTATTTTATCTTTATTAAATTTGTTCTTATTTCAAGATATTTAGAATTATTTTTAACCTATGAATTTTAAAATGTTACTTGCTAGTCATGAAGTGAATAGGATATATATATATATAATGTTGAACTATACAATTTAACAACTCAAAACCAGTTTTAAAATTATGAAAATTTATAGATCTTCATAGTTGAAATCATGAGTCAATTAAAGCTAGACCACTATGGAAAACCTGGAAGCACTAGACGGCCGTTTCGTCCTATTATGGAACTCCTCAGCAGTGCACATCCACGATCCCGCACTCGCGAGATTCGAACTCAGGGCCTATCAGTCTCGCGCCAGAGTACTTAACCGATAAACCACTGAGCCATCATCCAACGGTGTTAATGTCTAACCCCAACCAATCCACAAAGTTGAGCAACCATTCACCAATTGTCTTCAGTGAGTTGATATCTCTACAACAGACTTGGTTGAACTCCACTGGCAGGTCCTGGGTTCGAATCTCGCGAGTGCGGGATCGTGGATGCGCACTGCTGAGGAGTCCCATAATAGAACGAAACGGCCGTCTAGTGCTTCCAATTTTTCCATAGTGGTCTAACTTCAATTGACTCATGATTTCAACTATGAAAATACTGAAATATCCACAAAACCCCTTCTGATTTATAGATCTGTTAGTTGTTTGTGTTAGTGTTTAGTGCTGTGGGTTAAATGGTTTAATTGTATAGTATTTGTTGTTCTCAACAACATCATCAGAGGTTGCTTAAGTTGTAAGCGAATGATTTGACTATTCCACAAACCTTTTTGAAATTTCTCGAAGAATATTCGTCTAACTATTCAATTGTATGACCTGGAATATTTCCCAAGTAAAGCTTTACTTCATCATCGCTATGTAATACATTTATTTAAATAACATTTTACGTTACTTTTTTAACTTATAGAATCGTCGTTATGCATTTCCGCATATTTTCACAGTAAATTTCAGTGTACCAAATGTTTGGTCAGATTATTTGGAGCCAGAAGCGGATCCTGTTATCCCTGAACATCGATATGCAATAGCAATAATGAATTGTTTTGCGTCTGCAGTTGCCCAAGCTCGTTCTATGGGAATCAATGAAGGGATTCTTGATAAGCCTTTGTGTGTTCAATGTGTTTGCTCTGATGGAGTATATTTTGATTTTGTTACATTTCAGTTAAATAATATGGATGTACCTGATTATAAGCTTAGTCATAATTTAGATCCTACTGCACCCAAAAATTTTGCTTGGATTGACGGAAACTATCGTTTATTCCAAAAACTTATACCTAAAAAACGCATGATGCGTAATACAAAATATCGTGATATAAATATGAGTGTATTTGATCGCCTCTCAAGTTACTATTTATGTGGACTGATCAACACTTCCTTTAACATAAATGAATCCTTAATCCCTGAACTAAATACAATTAACAACCAAATCCATGAATAAAATATTAGTTTATACAAAGAGCTCACGGATAAGTGTACGAGTGACAATAATTTGTAATTGCATTTTTTAAACTTTCTAACTTACATTTGTGTAAATACATCTACCCTGTACTTTTTTCATTTACCTGCCTTTTGTTGTATAATAAATAAATGATTTACCATGATTACTTTAAAAAAAACTTTCTATTAATTCTGTACGTATGTAAGCACACAGTCAGTAATAGTATTCACTGCTTTGGTACAAAACAATGTATTTACATTGCTTGGTATCTGTTGAGCTTTATAAAGCTTCAGCTGTGTAGAGCGTGTACTCGTCCAGCACCAGAATTGTGTAAGTCACAACATTGGCATTTACATAATATACATCAATTACATTGGAAAACATCAAAATTATATGTGGTCATTAGCTTGCGCTCTTTTTTTGTGAAATTTTAACGAAATCATCCATCGTATGGACCACTAATCTTTGAACGTTTTTCCTTCGTATAATGGCTTATTTTTCTCATAATGAAAGTCCTAGGGAGTTCTTTTTTTAGAAAAAACCTCAGGCATATTTCATAGAGAAACTGTTTTTTCATAGTTATGATTTTCATCCTACTTACTCTGTCATTTCAAATTATGTTGTAGTACTGTGTTTAGGAACTCCGCCTGTAGCTGTTCTAGAGTTACTGCCGGTCCCAAGCCCGGATAAAGGAGGAGGGTTGGGCATGGGGTTAGCGACCCCATCCCGTAGAGAAGCTAACTCGCTAAAAACACGCTAACCAGAAAAAATAGTTCAAACCATTTAAACTGTTTAGGATGAGATTTTTATAATAAAAAGATAAAGGATGGACTTACTGATATTACTTTGCTCTTCGGTTATTATTACCGATTTTTAATGTTCGGAGTAAAATGTTTCTGGTTAAAGGATAGATCGGATACATAAAAATCTCTAAAGCGTAACCGGATCACATACATACTGGATTCATCTTGGGTCACAATACTTTCAACTTAACTATAAAAAGCTGAACAGAATTTAGAGCAAATATTGTAGTTAATGTTCAAATTAAACCATATTTCCGTCAATAGATGGATTTTTGAATGTCATATAAGACTCCTTTCTACCTTCTAGATCGAACTTACCTTCCATCACTTATGAATGACATGGATTACATTACTGAATGTATGTTTACTTCAGCAAGAGATTAGAAAAGTTTGCTTATGTAATGTGACATTTAATGACTTGGAGAATTATCAACAGTTTGTATAACTAGTAGTAACAGTAAATATTTACTAGATCTAAATGGTCGGATTTTAAAAAGTAAAAAGACCTGATAATCATCACTACGAACGCTTCTATTAACAAAATTTGTCCTAGTTATTCATTGGTAAAGATCGTTGTCACATACATATATATATATATTGCAATTTCTAGGTCTACAAGATCAGAGTTTCGTGAAAATATTTTAAAAAAAACATTTAGTAAGTTTTTTTTTCACATTTATTTTTAAAGAGAAGTCAAGTCGTTCAAAACAAAATAAATATGTGATAAACAGTAACGTCCATTGAATTAATCGTTTATTGAACAAGGTGTGTAATTTAGACTGAAATAAATGTTACAAAACTAAAACCTATTGATTTCCATGTCCTGTTTAGTGGGACTCTGTGATGATCAAAATCTGATATTTTGGAGTTTCTTTTGCCATAATTAATTGAATTTCTTCAATGATATATATCTAGGTTTAGATGATGAATGTTAACAGCTTAGAAGGTTAAGTTATGGGGTGTTATTCTAAATATTTGGCTTGTAGATCATACTTCTAGGAAAAAAATTGTGAAACGGATTAGTAGAGTCATCTAATATTCGTGTTTCGTTCTATTTAGGATCTCAAAGTTGAATTTACCTGAGTCTTAGTGTTAATGTTCACGATGATATCCTTAGATAGTTGTCACCCTTCAAAAAGCCACAAGGCTACCAGACTATCTGTTGGTGTTTAAAGCCATAGTTACTGGCCATAATAATTTGTAAAAACATCGGTTCTCTGACGGAGATACATTAAATTGACAAGTGGGAGGTATGGTGAAACAATCGTTCTGAGTTCTACTATTAGTCACCAAATAAAATATAATCGACTTGTAGTATCAAAGCATTTGGCCAAGTACAGTCTTGAATATGAAAACAGGAAATTGCACTACATTATTATTTCTATTACTGTGGTATTTATCCTTATAATTCCACCTAACTGTGCTTATTTATCATGCAAGTCCAAACCGATTCACATGTGCTTATGACTGACTGATAAAATTGCACAAATATAATTGTTCTTTCGGAGTTACATAATAGTTTTTAAATATGTAGTTGTTCTCGTCGAATACTTCAACTGATACTGAAGTGTCGTGTAAATATCACTCTTAAAATTATTATTTGCTTTTAATCTAATCTTATCGTTAATTGTTTGTGAATGACTTTCAAGTCTATGTGGTCTTTTTTACTTTAGTTTTTATTCAATTCGCTTTTATACATCCAATTTCTTTTCAATTCATTTACTATATTTATCTATATATTAATGCATTCTATGTAATTAATCATTAAGTACACGGATATAAATTTCTGTACTAGAATAAAAAAGTTATCCAATACTCTTTGGCTTTTCAGTGGTTTCTTCTATAATGGTCAGTTAATGATGTAATTTGTTTTAAATAATCTAAGCATTTTGTAAAATAACCTTATATTATTTCCTTATTTTCGCTAGGTAGATAGATAATTCGTATTCTTTACTGATTCATGATTTCAGCTATGCATAAAGCAAATTATCTAATCACAGATTACTTTCTAATTGAACTAATTCTAATTCGTCAGTAAGTATAACTATGAAAGTGTCTAGTTAGTAAAAGAAATGTAGCTTTTATGGTATAACTCAGGCGGATAGTGTTCATAGTGTAGCATTCTTTACTTTGAATAGCTTCATTGTGAAGTTGACATTACTATTTTTAAAAAGTTTTAAGTTTATAAGAATACTACTGATGTACTTATTATAGAAAATTAGTTTCCATTTTTTTCAAACTGAGATCATTAACCGATCAATGTCAGACCGCCATTAAAAACATGAAAGCACTGGACGGCCATTCCGTCTTAGTTTGAGACTCTCCAGCAATACACATCCACAAGTATCTTCAAGAGGTAATTCTCGAAGTTTTAGTTAGAAACCGTAAACAGTAGAATTCAACTATGTCGGATGAGGCAGATACCCACCGAAGACAATGGAAGATGGTTGCAAAATATAGTGGATTGGTTGAAGTAAGATATTAACACCACTGGATCCTGGCTCAGTGGTCTAGAGACTAAGCATTCGTGCACGTGACCGAAGATCCTGGGTTGGAAGCCCACATGCTGGATCATGGGAGCTCACTGCTGAGGAGTCCCATACTAGGACGGAACGGCCGTCCAGTGCTTCTGTGTTTCCTATAGTGGCCTAATATTGATCTGTTCATGATTTCAATTTAAAAAATTCAACAATCTTCACAACTATACTGATAGTTACAAGTATTTGATCCATCATACGATTAACATGTTATCTAGTAATTAACTGCACGGTCATAAGTTGTGTTATACTTTCAAATTCTTCCCCACCTACTTTGGAAATTATGGCAGTGTTGTTGAATTTCGAGTGTATGAAACGATACTTGGTTATTTAGTTTGATTTAAACGGATGATATATCTGAAGCGTTACGAATTCACTAGTAACGAACGGAACAAAGACACGTGACCAGAGACCGATAACTAGCTATACTGACGCGACCCAGACCCAGCTAACTAGAGTAAGAAGTCCAAGTTGGAGCGGGGAAGTTATATTCCGTAGCAGCCAGAAGCACAGTAATCAAATAAGGGAAAAAGTCAAGCGTATTTATACAGCAACGAAATGTCCTTGGGCATCGTTAATAATTAACACACACAAAGAAACAATGGACCAATAGCGTTTAAGATAGTTACAAGTGGGAAATATGATGTGAAGGTAATAAGAGCACGTTTTGGCGCGAAAACAGCTAAATTCAAATTTCCAAAATAAAATTACAAAATTGAGCCACTTATCAAGTAAGTTCTGGGGATTTGACATCCCCAGCACCTCCCCCTTTAATAACGCACACTCTTCGGGTCCACTTGCATTCTGACTGTCTTTCGCCGTTGGCGCTGTGACCATCTTCGGGACCGTAGGTCGACCTTTTGTATTTCTTCATGCGTTGGGACTGCCGGCAGATTAAAGGTATCCAATAGTACGTCCAGCGGAATCTTTACTTCGGTCGATGGGCGCTCTGGCGTTAACCGCTTGCGTAGTTGATTTCGATGTCTGGTCCACCTGTCCGCTCCCACCTCAACCTCGTACATGACTTCTCCTACACTTCTAACCACACGTGCTTCGATCCAAGGGTCACGACTTGCTCTGTAGTCTCTAGCAAATACTGGGCATCCAACGTTGTACGTGGGTAGCTTCCGGGACGTGGTTTGTACTAGTGGTGGTGTGGTTTTCGGCAGCATCAAGTTGTGGATGGTCCTCAACCGTCTTCTCATGAGGATCTCTGCGGGGGACTTCTGCTCCGGCAGCGTGTCGTTGGGGGTCGTTCTGTAGGCGAATAAAAAATTATGCAGTGTTTCCACTGGTGTCCCCTCCCCTTTTGACTTAATAAGGGCCCTCTTGAACGTATCCACGAACCTTTCCGCTTGCCCATTCGATTGTGGGTGATAAGGTGGGGCGCGAAGATGCCTGATGGTTAGGCGTTTGCAGAACTCTTGGAACTGCGCCGAGGTGAACTGCGAACCGTTGTCGGATACAATCACTTCCGGTAATCCGTTTCGTGCGAACAACTGAGTCAGATGTTTCAGAGTCTGGGTGGTCGTTGGTGGATTGACGGGAACAATCTCCGGCCATTTCGAGAAGGCGTCGACCACGACAAGGTAAGTGGTTCCGTTGATTGGACCGGCAAAGTCGACATGTATCCTAGACCAGGGATGCTCAGGCTGTGGCCATGGAACCGGCGGCACCTTTGCATTGAACTTTGCAGCTTGTTGACACTGAGCACACGATATGCTGGTCCATGAGGGACCAGTAAGCATAGCTTCTGGCTATGGATTTCATACGCTTTATGCCTGGATGACCAATGTGGAATTGCTTCAGCACCCTCGGTCGCAGGGATTCTGTCACCACCACTCTATCTCCAAACATCAAGCATTCACTTACGACACATAATGAGTCACGACGATGGTAAAGCTGCTTCATGTCACCGTGAAGTTTAGTTGACGGCCAGCCATGGGTGACGTTTTCTTAATGATGGGGTCGTTTCTGGAAGCAGTTTGTATCTCAGATTCTGAGACTGGCAAAGCACGAACAGCCGTTGTCAGGTAGCATTGTGCGTGGTCTTCTGTCGAAAGAGAAGCAATAACGGCATCTTCGTCAGTCGTAGAGTGTTCGCTGATGAGTCGTGGCAATGCGTCTGCCTGACCAAAATGTTGGGTGCGTCGATACTGAATGTCAAAATCATAACCCAAGAGGATCAAGGCCCATCGTTGAAGACGGTTTGCAGAGTGGGCCGGGACGCCAGACTTCGAACCAAAAATTGCAAGGAGAGGCTTGTGATCAGTTAGGAGAGTAAATCTCCGACCATATAGAAACTTGTGAAAACGACGCACTGCGAATACTAGGGCAAGAGCCTCCTTCTCTATCTGGCCATACTTCTTTTCTGCTGGGGTTAATGTTCGGGATGCATGCATGATAGCTTTTTCTGTCGCGTCGGGGAACTGGTGTGAAATAACAGCACCGAGCCCAAAGGCTGAAGCGTCTGCGGCCACGATGATTGGCAAAGACGGGTCGTAGTGCGTTAATAGTAGTTCTGAACTAATAATTGTCTTTAGCTTACAAAAGGCATTTTCACACTCCTTTGTCCAGTTCCAGCTGATATCCTTATTCAGGAGATAATTCAGTGGGGCGCGTATGTCATGCATCGATGGAACGAAGGCTGAGTAATAACTAACCAATCCCAGGAATGATCGTAGAGTAGAGATATTGGTAGGTGTGGGCATAGTTCTTATAGCTCGAATGTTCTCGGGATCTGGTCTGCAACCTGCAGCATCAAAGATGAACCCCAAATACTTCACGGATTTCAAGAAAAGCTGGCACTTTTCCGGGCGTAACCGGAACCCGTTGTCGCTGACGCGTTGGAGCACGGCTGTTGTGCGTTCCCGTAGCTGTTCCGACGTTGTGGCAATAATGAGGATGTCATCCAGATAAGTTGCGACCCCCGGGATACCTGATAGAATGGTAGCCATTAGCTGCTGGAAAATAGATGGGGCGGTCTTGACTCCAAACGGCAGTCGATTATATTGGAACAGGCCACGATGAGTATTGATAGTGAGTAGCTCTCTTGATTCTTCAGCCACTTCTACTTGTAGGTAGGCATCAGCAAGATCCAACTTCGCAAAGTACTTTCCGCCATTCAGCATAGTGAACAAATCTGCCGGGACTGGCAGCGGATAATGATGCTGTTCTAGGGCTGCGTTGAGACCTGTGGAAAAATCTGCACATATTCGGATTGTACCATTAGCCTTCTTGATAACAACAATGGGTGCTGCCCATGCGGAATAAGAGACAGGAGTAATAACCCCTTCACGTTGAAGGCGATTAAGTTCTTCCTCAACTTTCTGTAATGCAGCATATGGTACTGGTCTCTTTGGACGAAAAACAGGTTTGACCCCAGGTTTCAATCGAAGCGTTGCTTTCATGGCTGAGCACCGACCCAAAACAGGCTGGAAGACGGTCGAAAACTTCGTAACTAGTTCCTTTGAATAGGATTCCGGGTCATGGGGATGCTAGTTGATACACAGTCTTTAACGGGACGTCTGCTAAATGCAGTTGGTCAAACCAATCTAATCCAAGTAAATTAAGATCAACCGGAGCAATGTAACATACCCCAGTGAACGTTGTTGTCGCCACACGTGGTCTGCCCATTTTAATCCAAGATTTTTGTGAAAGAATTGTCACGTCCGAAGCTGTGTCTATTTGTAATCTAAATGGGTGCCCGTTAATATTAATGGTAATAAATTTTCTCTCACCTGGGGTTGAGTTCTGACAGGATGCTACAAAACTCAACGAATTTGTGCGCGGCTTGGGAGCAGACTTTTTAGTACTTTTGGGGCGATTCGACTTTTTATTTTGGCAGAACCCATCTTTGTGGCCCACAGCTTTACACTTCCTGCAACGATGTTGTTTATACGGGCAGCTTCGAACATAATGCCATGCACCACAGTGCCAGCATGGAGCAGGAGGATTCGTCTTTGCTTGTTGAACTGAGTTAGAGTGAGACGAACTAGATATAGCTGGAGCGGGTTTAACAGGTTTCGTTTGTTGTTGAACTACATGTACTTCAGGGCGATCAGAAACACCACGTTGAACCATGGTAGTGTCATGCTGCAGATTAATTAGACGTTGATATTCGTTAGCAATATCATTAAGAGTCATCTTAGGGTCTTGATCCAATCGACTGAGCAACCGTGTTCTAATATCACTGAACTTTTGCGATTGGAGGCTGCAGATGAGAATGAGGGCTTTAAACTGATCTTCAGTTAGCGACTTCAACCGAAAGCGTTCGCATTCGCGGTTGACAATGCCCACATGCGTCAGAAAATCGGTGTCTTCGTTCATAGTCAGCTTCAAACATCGATAGCGTGTGTTGAACAGTGAGGAATTATCTCCAAACTGTTGGTTCAATGACTGAACAGTGTCTGAGAATGAGCGATCGCGTGGGTATAGAGGCAAAATCAGGTTACAATATTTATCAAGTTCACTAGGACCCAGCTTTCGAAGCAGCAAACGGACTTTCCAAGCATCATCTTGATTGGCAAAATCAAATCTGAATAAATCTTCATAACGGCGGAACCACATATCAAACGTAACATTAGATTCAGGATCGTGATGAAACTCAGAAATACTGCTGGCAATACCATCAACTGAAGGTGCAGTAGTGGTAGGATTAGAGCTGCTTGATTGGCTATTGGTCGTAATTTTTGTTTCTGTTAGCATCTTGATAAGTTTCATCTGCTGTTCGAGCAATAATTCCACTTTTGCAGGATCCATAATTCCAAATCACCGTCGCCAATTGATATATCTGAAGCGTTACGAATTCACTAGTAACGAACGGAACAAAGACACGTGACCAGAGACCGATAACTAGCTATACTGACGCGACCCAGACCCAGCTAACTAGAGTAAGAAGTCCAAGTTGGAGCGGGGAAGTTATATTCCGTAGCAGCCAGAAGCACAGTAATCAAATAAGGGAAAAAGTCAAGCGTATTTATACAGCAACGAAATGTCCTTGGGCATCGTTAATAATTAACACACACAAAGAAACAATGGACCAATAGCGTTTAAGATAGTTACAAGTGGGAAATATGATGTGAAGGTAATAAGAGCACGTTTTGGCGCGAAAACAGCTAAATTCAAATTTCCAAACTAAAATTACAAAATTGAGCCACTTATCAAGTAAGTTCCCCAGCAACAGTATATGATGATATAAAGTATTTGCGATATGTTTAGATTAAAATCCTTAGTTTATTTAATGTAACTCTATAACCTTGAATACTGTAGTTCTTATAAAATATCAATACTTGATTTTAATTTAACTGTGAAGTGATATATTTTCTAGCCTTTCAAACGAAAAATTTATTGAGAATACTTATCTGTTAAATAATTCATCCATCTTTCATCAACCAAGAATAGATTTGATTTCATACGAAAATAATGATATCAAATTCACTTATTACAATTGGCTATCTATCATGTGATTTACTCATGTACAATTTCGGATGGTTAATAAAATAGTTATACAAACATATAATCATGCGCAAACAACTTTGTGCTCAAGGTCAGAACCTTGATTAACACAAATTATTGATTATCTTTCATAATAAACGAATTTCTGTAATTAAATATATATACATATATATGTTCATATTGTACATACATGCATATATGTGTAACAGTGAGAAAGTTATTTTATAAATTAAGTACATAAACGGAAGTATAGAACACAACTACAAGATTTATTTTCTGTTTTTTAACTAAAAAAGGGAACAAAAACAACAAAAGGACTCAAACTTAAAATAACAACAAATTATCAACATTATAAAATTTGTAATGAATTTTAAAGTTTTCAAATTTAATAAATTATGATAATAAATTCATCAAATAAGATGCGTATGGAACAAAGAAAACATTCAAGTTTAGTGTTTGAATTGGAAAAAATTTTATCAACCGATGATAAGAAAATTAAAGTTGGTAAAGAAATATTTAGACAGTAAGTGTTACCTTTTTTGTTCTTATACAGAAAGGTGTTGGGTAGTAAAATGAATGAATTTATGCTCTATTATTATTATTAGTAGTAGTAGTACTAGTGTAGTGAACAAGAACACTAGTTGGGGATAATCGAATGTATTTAAGCAAAAATTATAGACTATCTCACTAAATTCTGATAACCATACAATGAACAGTTAATTTGAAAAATAAAAATCAATTGTCTCAATCTTCACTATTCCTTCTGTAAATATCAATTCATTTTCTCTAATTTCATTGTTCATGCATTTTCCTACCAATTGCGCTTCATTTCAGTTCTTTCCTTATCGGTCTTCTGCCAAAATTCATTTTTTGTCTGACCATCACTATATACTACTCATGAGAATATAAGTAGACCACGCCACACTAGTATTAGTATTATTATACTTTTATTTTAGTTATAATGATTACTATGGCTGTAAATTTCATTTTCATAATAAATTTTATTGGAAATGTATTACATAATTAAGATAAATTAATGGATATTAAAGTTAGCAGATTACATTAAGTCGATTGATTATATTAGTAAAGTAAATCTCTACAAAACTGATGTCTCAGTTGTCTTGTATCTTGTATCTTCTGGATAATGGCTTTCGTAGTTCTCCACGTCTCCGCCCCATACAGAAGAACTGTCTTCACATTTGAATTGAAAATTCTAACCTTGGTGTTGGTTGACAATTGTTTTGAGCTCCAGATGTTTTTCAGTTGTAAGTATGCTGTTCTTGCTTTGCCGATCCTTGCCCTCACATCTGCATCTGATCCACCGTGTTCATCAATGATGCTGCCCAGATATGTAAAGGTTTCCACATCCTCTAAAGCTCCTTCGTCAAGTGTAATTTGATTGGTGCATATTGTGTTGTATCGAAGAGTCTTGCTTTTCCCTTTGTTTATATTGAGACCTACTGCTGCTGAGGCTGCTGCTACACTGGTCGTTTTCTCCTACATTTGTTGTTGCGTTTGTGATAGAAGAGCCAGATCATCCGCGAAGTCTAGATCGTCAAGTTGCATCCTGCCTGTCCACTGTATCACGTGCTTTCCTGCAGTCGTTGACGTCTTCATGATCCAGTCGATCACCAGGAGAAAGAGAAACGGTGAGAGTAAGCAACCTTGCCTAACACCGGTCTTTACCTCGAATGAGTCGGTGAGTTGTTCTCCGTGGACGATTTGGCAGTTTAGTCCATCATAGGAGTTCCGTATGATATTGACTATCTTCTCAGGCACGCCGTAGTGTCGAAGAAGCCTCCATAGTGTCGTCCTGTCCACACTATCAAATGCCTTATCGTAGTCGATGAAGTTGATGTAGAGTGATGAATTCCATTCGATTGATTGTTCCACAATGATACGTAGAGTTGCGATTTGATCTGTGCACGATCTAACCTTACGAAATCCAGCTTGTTGATCTCGAAGTTGGGCGTCCACGGAATCCTTCATCCTGATTAACAATACCCTGTTGAAGACTTTTCCTGGTATTGAGAGGAGAGTGATGCCCCTGTAGTTGTCGCACTTGCTGTGATCGCCTTTCTTTGGTATCTTGATCAGAAGTCTTTTTTTCCAGTCTATTGGTACTTGTTCTTCATCCCAAATCTTACTGAAGAGGATGTGGAGTATCTTGGCAGTTGCTGTTACATTTGCTTTCAGTGCCTCTGCCGGGATGTTGTCTGGTCCCGCTGCTTTGCCACTCTTGACTTGTCTAATGGCCATGCTGATCTCTTCAATTGTTGGTGAGCCAACATCTATTGGGAGGTCTGTGGGTGCTGCTTCGATGTTGGGTGGGTTCAGTGGAGCTGGTCGATTTAAGAGTTCTTTGAAGTGTTCTACCCACCTGTTTCGTTGTTCTTCAATGTCGGTGATTTCTTCGCCTTCCTTGCTTTTCACTGGTCTTTCTGGTTTACGGTAATTTCCAGCAAGTTTCTTTGTTGTATCATACAATTGTCTCATGTTTCCCTCTCTTGCAGCCTTTTCCGCTGTCATCGCTAAATCTTCCACATATTTACGTTTGTCGGTTCTGATGGGGTCGCTAATCCCATGCCCAACCCTCCTCCTTTACCCGGGCTTGGGATCGGCAGCAACCCCCAGAGGAGCTACAGGCGGAGTTTCGCAATAGTAGTAACTTGGGTATATGACGATCCAACATTCTTTCGTGGGGGAGGAGGAATTCGAGAAATTTAAAATCCGGATATCAACTCTGGATTTCTCAAAAAGGGGAGGTGTTATATCCCCTGGTGAATTATGAATGGTAACTCTAAGGACTATTTATCGACCAATGTATTATGCCTATTTCCTATTGTACAATTGTTACGTAACTAAACTATCCATATTCGTGTTTCTCTTATCATTAGCTTTATTTTGATCTTTGATTTATTATCATACGATTCTTGAGTTATAATCAGTTTATTGATTACTTTGGTTTGTATAAAAACCCAGTATGTTTGTAAATAATGATTCATATTGCCGAGGCGGTTATTTGTGTTCTGGACTTAACTGGCTGGGCTAGACAGATAGGAAGGACCGAATAGCACCCAAGACTGCTCGTACGATTTCAAGTATCATTTGCGTCCGATCAATAAATTCGCTCCTTCTCCAACTGCACGTTCATATATAAATTACGATCCCCATAAGATATAACACAACCCTCCTCCTTTGTATGGGCTTGGGACCCGCAGTAACTCTAGAAGAGCTACAGGCGAAGTTATAAAATAGATTACAACATTAAAAATGAACGTGTTTTTCATTATTCAATTCTAGTCATTTCTGTTTCTAACTGTATTTTTAATGTTTAGTTTGATTACTACTATTGGCATTAATGTTATTTTTTAAAATCTTCGTATGAAGTGTAAAAACCTGCATCTATGCTTTTTTTGTATCAAGCTGTAATTTGTTTTCATTGATTTATTCCTAACTAGATATTCTCTATTGTTAAAAAATGGTTTAGGTAATTTAATTATCTCTATATATAAAATTAGGTTCATCCATACTTGATAGATACGAACGAAAAGGATTTTTATGGAAAGTGTTGATTTTTTTTGAAACTTAGTAAAATGAACTGAAAAGTTTTAATAGCTGACTGATTCTCTAACCACTCCGAAATATCCATTTGCACTGATGCCATTACCTGAATCACTGAATATTTTAAATTGATGTATTTATGATACGCAATAAACATATGGAGCAATATAAGATTTAGCCTCTAAACTTTACATGTTTAAAAGACCTAAAGAATACAAAGAGTCTGTATTAAACGAACAAATGTAAGAATTTCCGACATCATATCATATATTTCTCTGTGAGTGACAATCAGTTTTTGGGAAATGAATTTGTAAATAACTTGACGTATAGTACGTATCGTAAAGTTATGCACGTCCATTTTGAAGAGTTTGAGTGAACTGTATAAGTGAGTGACGAGTAATCCTAACCGATCTGCACTATGTTACATTTAAAAATATTTTCTTCTGAAAGACCTTTCAGGAGTTTGTTTTGTAGAACTAGTCAAATACATACCTGATATTAGGGAACATACGAAATGCTAATCCGAAATCCATCTTATAATGTTCGAATACAGGGAGAAGCCAGGTTTAATTGTCGCAGATTATCTGTTGCTCACAGCTCAATCTTTAGTGAAGACTGGATTAAAAAGATAACTTTGTTGAAATAGTCTTTCGATGAATCTTTATTTCCTTGCTAGGGTCTATTCCAAGGCAATTTGAATCATTTGTTGTGGAAATAGATATGATTATCTCTGAATGAAAACAATGATATATACCTTTGTTTTCCATATTAATAGTAAGTAAAAACAATGGGAAAAAATAAGGAATTATTTAAATGTATCTTCACATTTTTGATTATTTACATGATGGCCAATAATAACCAGTAATTTTGTCATACTTTACAATGTATCCTTATCTATGTTAAGCAGTTTTATGATTCTGTGTGAGATATGTTTATATGTTTTTAAGCTAATAAATATTTGTGCTTTAATTAAACAAGTTAAATACTTTGATTGGTACTGTAGTTCGTATAGGTTTCGAGTTCAATAAATGAATGTATAGTAGTCTGAAAAGTTCATACCACAACTTCAAGTGTTATTTATATATAAGAAAGTTAAATATTGTTTAAACGATATTTTAGTATGGTGAATATTCCAGTCAAAATGTTTGGGTCATCAGTTGGTCTACACAGCAATTCACTTAGCAAAGCTAGTCATAGTATTTAAATGTTATTTATTCGTTCTTTTAAATTTTTTATTGTACAGTTGGTTTTTTAGACGAGATACCTAAATGAACTCATATTTACTTAGTTTTTATAATGCAACCTCTATCCAATATGAAGGATTATGATTTATTTGTTAAGACAATAAAAGCAGTCAATAAATGCTAGGTGGTTAAAAGTAATCAACAGGAAGATATTGATCTGTGTTTCGTGTTAGTATGTAAGACGTATCTACAAACTAGGACAATCCGTAGAATTCGAAGATGTGTCGACGATTTGTAGAGTCTAAGACACTATCTACCTTCAACCACTTAACATAAAAGCATGGTAAACATAATACCTAGTCATTTAGACTATTGGCGACACTGAAACTTAACCAGCAGAATCTAATTAGAAATCATGACAAAACGAACATAACAGTAGTTACGATTCATTGATCAATCAATATGTACCTTATAGTTAATATGAATGTTTTGGTACATTTATGAAATTTGAATGATCCTTTGATGCTATACAGACAGCGAATTGTTTCATTAGCCAAACTGTATATCTTTCACTAACATTATAGTTACACAACGATTTCTGATATTCACTTTATTCTCAGTTTATTAATTTTAAAAAAAACTCCGAATGTAAAAGTAGAACGAAGTAAGAATAATCTATAATTCTCGTAAATATTTAAGTCCAACTAGGTCCTTACTGATTTTAAATGGGATTTCATTTAACTTTTTTAACTTTTCGAAATTGTTTTTACAAAGA